CCCGCCAAACAACCCCTACGGGCTGTCTGTTAGATTCAAGGCTTTGATCCTCTATTTGCACAGAAAGGAAGACATAGAGCCGCGGGGCCGGCCGGGCAGGTGGGTCGGAACATGGATTGAATTCCTCTCGCCCTCCTTGCCGAGGGCTCCCTGTGGACCACAAGAGCCACGGCGGCCGACGCCAGGAGCTCACAGGAGGGCCCCGTGCCAGGGCACAGCCCCGCCAGCCGCGGTCCAGCGAGCGCCGCTTGACGACTCGCCTAAATCTTGAGGTCAGCCCCCCCGAACTCCCAAGCATCTTCAAGACAGTTCCTGGATAATGGGGACTTCCAAGCATTGGCTGGGACGGACACTTTTTTTTTTTTTTTGTGGTTTATTTCCAAGAGGACAGTGAGGGAACAAGACGAGGCTCTTGGTCGAGGAGCTGTAGTGCGGGATACAGCTCAGGCGTGAGAGCAGCAAAGCCAGGGCTTATACAGCGCAAGAGCATCTGTCCCCACCGTTATGCACGTGCTGCTCCAGGCATGCGGGGGCATTTTCGAGGAACTGGTGCTTTCTCCCGTCCTCCGAGCGCGACAGAAGTCGGGGGCCTGCGGTGCAAAGGGTGCTCTTTTAAAAAAGGAGGTATAAACCGTAACTGGATTTGTTGGGACACAGGGTGGTTTCGTCAGGGGATGCGACGGAGGAAAGGGAAGGGTTCAAGCTTTGAGAAGCAGATTTGGGTGAGAACAGGCACCTTTTCACTCTTTTGAACACTGTAAATAATAATAATGAAAAAAAAAAACCAAAAACAAAACCCAAATGGCCGCCCTCCCCTGCCCCTCCCTCCCGATCCCAAGGCTTGCCTTCACATCATGCTCTTCCTGTACTGAGACTGTGAGCTCTGTTTGGCTTTTGAGTCCGACTGCTGCAGTTCAAACTGTTTGTACAGGTCCCTCAGCTCTCTGATCTCCTGCAACACCCTCTTGGCTTGACTCCAGGTGGAGGAAGCCTCCCCCAGCAGCCTCTCAGATTCCTGCAGGATCCTTTCAGAGTCCGACTTGGAAGATGATGAGGAAGAAGAAGAGGTGGTGGTGCTGGTGGTGCTGGTGTTGGAATCCTTGGTCTTTCTCTTGCCTTCCCCGTAGCCCTTCACCTCCGTCAGCAGTTCCTGAGTTTTTTCCAGTTTCAGTGCAACCAGTTCTTGGAGCCGGGACAGCTGCTCTGGTTCCGCTGAGGCAAACTGAGCCTCCAGCCCCCTCCTCAGCACCGCCCGGTGCGTGGAAGAGTCCCGCCGAGACAGAATTTCTTCCATGGAGGCACATTTATTCTTTTCTGAGTGCGAGAGCTTTTTGGGGACCTGGGGTGTGTACATGGTCCCTTTGTCAAAGGAGTCATTGCGCTGCCCAGATCTGTCCCAAGAGGTCACCTCCCGTCTCGGGAGACTCCCCGTCCGGCCTTTCTCCGACGACTTGACGTTCTCCGAATCCGACCGGCGCCGGCCAGCAGTAAGATGTGCCACTGACTTATCCAGATCCACCCGGAAACTCTCTTCGCAGGTGCTGTGATCCTCCGGAGAGGCGTCTTCCTCCTGGATCAGGTCGAGTGTCAGCATGCCATCGGACGTTGAGGTAGATGCCTGGAGAAACAAAGAAAGAAGAGCTGCGTTATCGCGGGAACGGCACTTCCGAGCGTCTCTGACCCCGAGGATACGCATCCTGGGATGCAGAGATGGCCTGGGAATGCCAGCCAGCGTGACCGAGTGACAGACGTGCTGGGTTTGGGGTTCCGGCTGAGGTCGGGTCAGCTGAAGGGCCTTGGACACCTGCGTTCCCCGGCTGTGCTGCTCTTCGCCAGCAGGAACGTGAAGGAGCATCAGGAAAACGGGGCTCAGTGATGCCAGGCTGCCACTTGGCACGAGGGTCTGCACAACGCCGTGCTCCACAAGACTGGAGGACCTAGAGCTGGTCACCCCGGACAGCCCCGGGTCTTACCACAATTTTTTACTTCAGGCCAGAGCTGAAAAACCGGGTCTGTTCTGGCATTTAAGTGAAACGCTTACAAGGGAATTTTACCTAAACAGGCGTCTGGGATTTGCTACACGTACCACAGCCATCAAATGTCCCCGCGTCGGAGGGCGTCGGGAGTGCTGTATTTTTGCTCTGTCACGTGTTGGGTGGGCGAGGTAGCTGTCCTCTTCGACAGTAACCTAAAGGGGTGACAAAGGCTAGTGAGCGTCTGGGAGCACGGGGGGCGCGAGCCATTCCCACTCTCTGCCGCTGTAATCAGCCACATGCTCTGTGGCAGATCATTTATTCCTCCAGGATTCCCTTTCTCCCGCGACGCCGCCGTGTGCTGAGGGTGAACTTCCCCCGCGTCCCCCCGGGGCCAGGACCCTTTGCTAAATTCTGTCAGGTGGGAGCGCCCAGCGGGTGGAAGTTTGGGTTGCAAACGGTGGATCCTGAGCTCAAACACAGGCAGCTGCCCGGGCTCACACAGACTCACAGCTTTGTACAAAACCTGCCCGCGCAGCGTCGACAGCACGCTGGTCCCAAGGGCCGTCCCTGGGCCGAGCCTTGCAGGTGGGACTCGCTGGGCTGGTCCTTACAAGGCTGAGCAGAAAGAGGTTTGCAGGGGATGGGGTGTGGGAATCCAGCCTCGGAAGAGTCTCCAGAGTGTTCCCCCCAGCCTCTCCCCTCTGCGCCTTGAGGGGATCAGATCTCCTTAAGTCACTCCTGACAATTAGCTGTCGAATCGGGAAAAATCTCCGTGACAGACTCTCCTATACCACTGTTTGCTGCGCTGCTTTCTGCTCTGCAGCCTTCCCCTGCGCCCTGACCTTCATTTTCCTTCACTGCGGGGTTTTGCGTTGCCATCCAAGAGAACAAACAGCGTCGCGGGGCCTCTCTCGCCGTAACTCGAATGCGGATGAGCTCGACCTGGGGTAGATCTAAACCGAAGACCGGTCGTCACGAAGCATTAATGAGAGGCAACTCTTTCAAACTGCAACCCCGGCGGGGAGGGGCGCAGCCTTCCCAAAGCACTGAGCCTTCACGCTGGAGTAAACTACGTGGGGACGCTCGTACGGATCTAAACCCGGCCTCCGTCAGCTCAGCTGTGGTTCGAAGTGTCTCGGGGAGCAGGCTGAACTCATGTGGCTTTGTTCGCCCTAGCGACGCGTTCTCACGTAGGCAGGGCTGTCCTGACCCGGGGCCCTCCTATCGCTGACCCACGGTGCCTCGTCTCTCGGGTCGTCCCTTCTTTTTTCACTAAATGGAGAGCCTGACTTGTCTTGACGAGCAATATATACGCCATACAGCGCTGAGATGAAGCACCCCTGGTTTGACCCTTGACCCGCAGGAAAGGATCAGCCAAGTCGAGATGCCCGGCAAGTCCCTCCCCTCCAGCCAGGCACTGGGAATGGGAATTGCTCTTGGAGACGGTGGCTGAGAGGGGAGGGGCTGGCGGGATGAAGGTGGGCTGAGGTGGGCTGACAGATGGTGCCGTGCTATCAGGGGGCTCCGGAGAGAGCGTGGGACTATCTTGGTTTTTCAGTTAATTCCTTCGTTCCGTCCCAGCACTTAAAGCTCCTTTGCAAACGTGAGCGTGCAGACGTGCGGCGGGTGGGAGGAACGACGCCCCGGAGCCCTGGGAAACCGTTCCAAACCATTCCACTGCAGCAGGGCAAGGCTGGGCTTTGCGTGGGACCGGGAGGGGATGGGGCCTCGGCGGCTGCCCCTCGGCCCTGCTCTGCCCTCGGGGCTGCGCGTTGACCCCGGGGCTGGGGGTCGGAACCGTCCCAGCCTTGGGGGTCTTGGTGCCTGTGTCCAAGGGTCTATAAAACCCCAGTGGCTCTAAATTCCTCGTCAATAGGAAACGGAGATGGTCGGGGGGGGCTGCTGCTGCCTCCGGCAGCCTCAGATCTTCACTCGAAACGAGACAAGGGAGCCTGAGCCCGGCCCTGAGCCCCGCTCACCTCATCTAAGATGCGGTTTTTAGCCCGTGTGATTGCTGAGTTGAGGGCATTAATCCAGGACTCCTTCTCCTCCGGACTCACAGCCAGGAAGATTAGATTCGGCGCCTACAAAAGAGGGAATTCGGGTCAGTGCCAGCGACCCGACTCGTACAGAGACGCTTTCCCGCTGCCCACGGCCCCGGGCTCCTGCCTTGCTTTGGTTTCCACCTGATGCCTCAGTCCTGCAGCACGGCGCTGGGCTGCCCCGGCCTGGGCTCTGCCAGCCCTCGCTCAGCAGCCCCCAAGTGTCCCGTCCCCCCCCCC